TGCTCTCCTAGGCAGGTCTACTCCTGGCCTAAATTTGTAAATGCTCATAAGTTACCTGTTGGATTTGAGACGCATCGGTCTTGGACGAAAAGAACAGCATTGTCTGCGAGTCTGTGATGCCGACGTGTTTCTTGGTTGGATGAACGTGAAATTCCACATTGACGTAAGTCTTTGGAATGATTTGCCTGTCGGAGCGCAAATAACACACACACACATAAAATGTGTCTTGTTCAAAACTAATGTAGTTCACCTTTTCCACATTCTAAGAACTCCAGGGTCAGATTGAACCCGTTTTGGCGTCATATCTGACCCAGAAAGGACCATTTCACCCTAATAGCGATGGGAATGAAAAATTCATAACTAGAGGTTTGACGGTTGTTCAAACAACCGCAGGCTGTTTCGGGTCTTTTGAGAAAGCATTTAGAATAGTCAGTTTGCACCGTCAAGTGCAAACAACTGTGCGGAAGGTTACAGTGCAGGCACCGAGATAAATTTCTGACATCAAAATCCGGGGAGCGGCGACGGCCGCGTGGTCGGAAGTACAACGTATTACATTACCGGAATTGAGGCTGCAGAACGCGCGCTCAATTTAGCTCGATTGCAACTGTTTCATTTTCGATCTAGCTTCGCTTGAGTCATTTGATGGAGACATTCCATGCTCTAAAAGTCACAGGATATAGTCCAGAGGTTACTAGCTAGGTACACTTGCTGAGCGAAAAGTCTGTTTGCGAGCCACAGATTATAAAGTGGGCAAGTAAAGTAGGCCAAGAAAAACTGTCCACCCGGTTTCCAAGCGGGCTAGACGATCAGCGGGCCAACAGTCAAAAACATTGCCGGGATCTTGCATCCCAAGTTGGGGGAGAGGGCAAACAGACACAGAATTGCTACCAGCGAGGAATTGGTGGGAACGAGTATATTAAGGTATGTTAATGCTTCAGTGGATGTCCCCTAGCCTCTACAGCTCTTTTTTTCTGGCTAGGGGAGGCCCTGGTTGTAAAGTGACTAAACTAGGTTTTTCAGCTTGTACAGGGGTAGGATATGATAAATAGACGTTGCATTTGGAAGAAAAACAAAAACAAAAAACGTTAATTAGCTCTAATGGACTCGCCAAAAGAGGCCACTCACTCTGCCCAGGGTTTTAAGCACAGCATCAGCAACAGCTAGCACTGACCAGGTTGACTTGGCATTGGTTCGAAGCGGTCAAAACATTCTATTAAAGCCAGCCGAATCCAAGCGCAAGATCTGGTCCATAGAGGCCCAGACCATTGCCTTTTTTGGTTTTCAGCGGCATCTATTTACAAGAAAGCCAGACCATGTCTTAGCACTGCTGAAATATTGCAGTATTATTATATCAGCTGCGAGTAAACCAACAACCAACCAACCAACCGACCGACCAACCAACCAACCGACCAACCAACCAACCACCCAACCACCCACCCACCCA